CACGTCGCCAAGAGTATTCTATTCACCACGTTCCTCTATTTAGCCATTCGCAATCCCGAGACCGTTTACGTTTTGTTGCTGCTATTCGTCTGGAGAGACAGACATGGCATGTGGAACTACTTCGAGTCTGTAAGTCCTGGTCTACCGTTCTGATAGACACCAGGACAGCAACGAGAGCGCCGCGTCAGGTCCATCGCGCACGGGATGAGAGGTCTCGAGTCGCCGCCGAAGCACGGCCGTCTCTACCGACACGGTCTCACGCCTCGTCCGGCACCCACTCCAACCCCGTCTTCTCGCTGAGCCAGACCTGGTAGAAGGCCATCTTCCACGCGCCGTCGTGCCTCTCCCACACGGCGCGCGCGGCCCAGCTCAGGACCGTCTCCCGCTCGTCGGGCGCGACCCTCGCCACGACGCCCTCGAGCATGAGCTGCACGCGGCCCTCGGTCACGGCGCCGACGTAGGCGCTGCTGGCCCGGTGCGACCGCGCCTTGACGTCCTTCCACATGGTGGCGCGGAAGCGGCGGAGGGCGTCGGTGCCCTGGGCGCCGGCGCCGGCCATGATGGCTTTGGCGTTCGGCGTGAAGTAGCCGAGCCAGGCGTCGTTGGCGGCGGGGTCGTCGCTGACGCGGTAGAAGTCCTGGATCGCCTGGACGAGGTCCTGCTGCAGGGCTGGGCCGAGGATGGTCGTCTCGGGGAAGGGGTTGATGCGGCTGTACTGGTCCTGTGGCGCGCTGGTGCGTGGCGTGGCATCATCCGTCATCGTGCTTGGCGTGCTTCTGACCTTGCCCTCTGACCGAAGCTAATGTTCTTCGACGAGGGGGTGATGAGAGGGCCAAGATGCTGTGAGGCTGTTGAAGATGGATGTACTGTAGGTACCTACTGTACCTATGGTAGGTAAGGTACCTAGGTACACAGTTCACAGCTGCCAGCCAGGTGCCCACCCAAGATGAGATAAGCATGCCGGCCCCCAGACTGGAAACAGTAGCAGGACGCCAGGGCGAGGCCAAACGCGTGTCAGAGTATCAAGTGATCCCGTGCTAGGTTTATCCCGAAGCTAGCCTGCCTGGCAGCCTGGCTTCGCCGCCTAGAACAGGCAAGGGAAGCATGGAGAGGCACAGCGATGACATAATGGGGTCCGCGAGCTTGGTGGCCGCGATGAAACGCGAATGATCACAAAGGAACCGAACGGCCCCCGAAGGGCCCTCCTACGTCAGCGCGTGCGATGCGTCCAATGTCCCGCTGCCGTGTTCTCGTGGGCCTTGATCCGGCGCTGAGTGGCCAGCTCACCTGACCACACCTGTTGTTGTACTGAGGTACTCACTCAGGCGGGGACATGGCAGGTCCATGGGCATTCAACGTGCACCCGTCAGCTGGCATTGATCTGGCAACATGGCTGGGCCAAAAGCTAGCGGGGTACCATGTACATTCGCGCAACTTGGATGATGGGTTGACCTGGCACGCCCAAGTTCCCCAGGCCGTCAAGTCGAGTGTTGTTGGATGAATCATCCGGGAAAGGGAGATTGCCGTTTTCATGCCGTGCTGTCGCTAGGTCTGTCCCTGATGGCGGTGGATGGCGTCAGCAGAAGAGCCCACGGTCATGATGAGGATGATGGATGCATCGGCGTGACTGTTCCGTTTGACTGTCTTGTTTGACTGGGCGAGGCCGACCACGGCGCGTCAGCAGCTTGTACCTTCTGAGGCTTCGGCGCTGCCCGGCCACGGCACAAGACTGCGCAGCGTGCCTGGCGCCATTGCCGCCTTGGGGGGGGATGGGTGTGGGTGGCCGAGGACAGAGACGGGTGCGAGGGTGAGGTGCATGTGTTGGTGTTGGGGCATCCGATTGCGTCGTCTGATGGGCTATTGAGATGAAGTGGCTCTTGGAGGCATGGGGAATGAATGCCATGCGGGAAAAGGCGGTGCTTCGGGAGATTGAGGCCATGGCGACCTCCTGTCGTACCCAAGGTACTGAGTGTACCTGACTGGTATGTTGAACGGAGAGGCGATGACAGTCTGAGCGATGAGGGGCCAAGTCGGCCGCGCAGGAGGAACCTACCTAGGTACCTGCTGTAAAGTACCTAGGTAGGTACCTAGAAGAGGGGAAATGTCCCTTGCTAGGAGCGGCGATAAGGTACCTGCTTCCCCCGCCCTTTGACGCCTTCCCACCTGCCCACCCCTGTTCTCCATCTGGCAGCGGGCCAGATTTAGCGCCAGCCCACTGGAACTGAGAGTACTGTATCACACCCCTCTCAGCACCCTTTTTAGCGCGACACCCCAGGCATCCGTCACCCCATCCAGCAGG